CCGCTACACGGTATGGCGCTGAAACCAGTGAGAAATGCTGGTCTCGTTTCAACCCGGACCTTTGGCTATCTGTCTATTAATCTGTTCCAGAACCGACTAGCAAACTCACAAGTATTTACACAGTAATTGGCGTATAATATGAAAAATATTTAACATTTATTAAACACACAGTAAATGACAGCAAGCATATAACCTCAGAATTTGAGGTTATATGCTTTGGCCAATAGCCGCCAGTAAACGCCACATTACTAGCGCCAGTTTGTATCAAGTATTTACACTTGCATTTTTACTGGCGTTAGTCGACTGGCGCGGCCTGGCGCCACCAATCATTGCATGTGAAAACCGGCCTTTATATACCGACATCAAAACTTTGAAATTAAATTTTTAAAAAACGAGACCTGAGCGACGATTTTCCTTCTCAGAATGTTTTTTACACACAGAAATAAACAATTTTACAAAGTTTTAAGAAAATCGGAGGGGAGAGCGTTATACTAAACATTTACCTACATTTTTTACAGACATCGACTTAAAGGTAGCAGCGAAATTTTTCGGCAACAAGTTTGCCTGTGGATCCAGTGTGACTGGCGATGATGAGATTGTCATACAGGGAGACGTCAAGGATGACTTATTCGAGGTGATACCTGAGAAATGGCCACAAGTTACAGTTTTAAAAGGAGGAAAAAAAGAATAAAAGCCATCAAACGCAAAAGTTTCTTAATGGAAAATTCTGCTCTTTTTCAGATTGACGAGGACTCTATAGACGATCTTGGAGATCAAAAGAGATAATAAGGCTATCCACTATTACGCACGCACAATAATTTAATTATACACTATTTCCAGTCGTGTTTATTATAAATAAAATGTACATACGCAAAATATATTTAAATAAGTTATTTTTTAAGATCTAAAATTAGGTCTCTTGTTCTGCGTCCTGCTCATCTCTCCGCACATTTGCGACGATCTGAAGCACGGTCTCCACTTCTTCCTCCGACAGCCGTTCCTCGCTCTCTTCAACCATCTGTATATAAACATTTCAAAATAGATCTATAGTCCATTGAAATATTCAGAGACTCAAATCTCTCCTTTCCACCGTTTCCTAATTAGGATATTTGTTAGGAAAGAAAGAACCGTACCAATTGTATCTCGAGTAATGTAGTGGGGCAGAGGTTGAGAAGAGTAAGCTTCTCGGCCTTGG